AAGATATTCTGAAAATATCTGACAAGGTAATGAAAAGCTGACACGTTCGACCTCTAGAATCCTAGACAAGATGGGTCCTTCCAGGGCCTTGGAATAGAAACTTGGATTTCTAAGTGAAGCCAGCTGGGCTTTGGATGAGGTGTGGCCAGTCATAGGGTTGGGCCATGGATATCTACCTAGTTGCTGACCAGCTTGGACAAGGCCACTGCAGACACTGCATGTGATATGGGGAGCTGCTTCAATGACCCCCAGGAAATCAGAGGCCACTGCTCACCACCGTCATTCAAGAGTCAGTGTGCGCGGCTCTTTGTGATGCATGATTTGTGATTTAATCTGATTCCCAACTTGGTGTTCCCCAGTTCTCCTTGTCTTGGAGAAACCCGTGATGGCTTCTTCTTGGAGCTGAGCTATTCTGAGCGTACTAAAGTTTCTAGTGCCGATTCTTGATGAGAACAATTTCTGTTAAGCTGAAAGGTGTAGTAGCAAACCAGGGACTTTCATAGCTTCCAGAGAACTGCCTTATAACTTTTTAAACCTACCTGTCTTCCCCAGGAGACTGAATGTTTAGGTAGTTGTATTAATAGCTATATTATTTCAAGAATTAGCACAGCATTTGTAGGGATAACAAATATTTGTGGGATTAATAAATACATGAATGAATGAATGAATGAATGAATCCTCCATGACTATCTCCTGGCTCAAAAGTGTATCAGCCCTGAGACTCACAGGTCTGGTCACCTGCGCTGCTCCAACATATGAAGAGTTGATTTGAATAGCATGTACCCAGTCTGTGGCCTTTCTTTCAGCAGGACCTGTCCTGGGATTTCTTGACTTGCAAACAAAGCAGCTGTCCCTGTCATTGTGTGCAATAGGTACTGGCCAGCTGCCAGGAGTCCAGCGGTCCCCTCGAGGGACAGCCCTTGACCTCTGTGCTACCCAGGGTATAAGCATCACAAAATCCTTTTCTATTTTCTGAAATAAGTAGTGACATGGGGTCACTGAAGTGGGCTCTCCGTGAACTGTTGTTAATGTCAAACTTAATTCATCCCAGAGTCTCGCTAACGGCTTCTACATTCAATTCATCTTCACGTTCATGCTCAAGTTTGCCTCTGGAAAGTCTGGTACTGAGGCAGGGGGTCCCTCACCTGAATCCCTGAATTTGAAAATAGTATAAACGGTTGGCCAACTTCTTCTAGAAGCCTTACTCTGAGTAAAGCCAGGGTGGCGGGACATTGTGAGGCTAAGTCTGGCTCACATAGGGAACACGGTTTCAGGGCCCTCCAGAGCTTTTGTGCAAGACAGAAGGGAAGTGTCTCCATTAACACATCTCAGGGAGCAGCACGCCTGACATCGGTGCTTTTCAAGTGCTGCTGCCTTTGCTCAGGTACTTCTGACGGCAGGCCTGATGTCGGCTGCCGCCGGCTTCCCCTTAAACAGGAACCTCTCACTACCCCTCGTGGAGCTGATGCTGCAGGAGGAGGAAGCAGGTGGGCAAGGACCAGTCTTCCATGAGGACCAGAGGGGAAACGAAGCTGGCTAGGCCCCTGCAGAGGGTAGCCTCACAGAGGAGGCTCTGAAGTCCAACCACCAGGGAGGTGCCCCAGGAGGGAGCCTGGGTGTGCACGGGACAGGTGACTAGTGCCTGAGGGAAGGGGAGAGCGTCCTAGTAGTGAGAGACATGAGCAGAGGCTTAGGGACGAGAACCAACAGGGTGGAGGGACCAAAGTGGGAGACAGGACACCAGGTTGATGTCCTGGGCTACAATAATGGATCAATAAGGTGGAGCAGTCCCAGATGACTGTCTTGCTCCTGTCTTGCTCTTGATCTGCTCTTGCTCCTGGATTCCTCGCCCTGGTGGGCAGCACCCTCATCCAGTTAGAGGCTCACACAGGGCCTTCTTAGATTCCTTCTTGCTTAGTCCTGGCAGCTAATCAATCATTGAATCTTGCTGATTTTGCCTCTTAAACCTGTCTTAGATTCATCCCCGTAGCCACTCCCCTGGTTCAGAACTCATTATCTCTTGCTTAGGCTATGGCAATAATATCCTAATTGGTCTCCCTGTTTCCCTCCAAAGTCAATAAAGATTGTAGAATGAAAGCTGCACCAACGCACAGACTTGAAGTGTCCTGGCAGCTCTCTAGTTGGGAAGCACAGCAAGAAGCCTATCTCCGGCCCACTGAAAATACACAGAGCTTACCCCAGAGCCCATTTTGACCTCCAGGAGACAGGGACTGCCGCCCAGCCTGGGTCTCAGGAGGGATCCAGCCTGTATCCTCCTTGGAGTTCAGAGACAGCTTGGAGCCTGGGGTGTCACTCCTTTGCTTTTGATCTTTTTCCCCTGAACTCTCTCCCAATGCAATCAAGAGTCAGGCTTCTGCTGGGCACGGTGGTGCATGCCTGTAATCCCAGCAGCTCTGGAGGCCGAGGCAGAAGGATCATGAGTTCAAAGCCAGCCTCAGCAAAAGTGAGGTGCCAAGCAACTCAGTGAGACCCTGTCTCTAAATAAAAATACAAAATAGGGCTGGGATGTGGCTCAGTGGCTTAGTGCCCCTGAGTTCAATCCCCAGTACCCCCCCCCCCCCCCCCAAAAAAAAAGAGTCAAGCTTCTGATGTGAGGCAGGATTGGCCTGGCCACCCAGGTTATTGGGACAGTTTCCCATATGTGTGGTGGGCAGTGCCAGGGCTAAGGTCACCAGAGAGAGATAGACCTCTGTCATTCAAAGGCAGTTCCCAGCATCAGATGAAGCTGCACTTGCGGGGAGCTGCCTGCTTGGCCCAGGTAGCCTGCCCTCCTGCACGGTGATGCTGGCAGCCCAGATGGAAGAAGCTGTGTTAACATACCACGTACAGGTTTGCTCTGAAGTTCCCCCTTCTCGCCCTCCATGTCTCCCATCTCTCGCCAGCAATGTTCGAAATCAATTCACAAGCCTCTGCCCTTGGGCCCCTCTGGCCTTTAGCAACAGATTCCATCATCTCCTTCTTGCCTGGAGGAATTAAGGAAATGACTCCAACGCAGGGAGCCTCGGGGTCCAGTTGCCTGATAATCCAGGTACACAGGGAGTCAAATGGGACATTGGTTCAAAGCAACATGTCACTTTGAGGGCTTCTGCATACACAGAGGGAAGGAGAGGCTGGGGGCAGTTTCCTGCATATTGCCAGAGTGGTTGGGAACACTGGAGTTGAAGTGTCCCCCAACCCTGTGTTGTTCCAGAGGGGTCTACATTCCCACTGGCCTTCCCTGCCAGCCTGGTGACATGAGGAAGGGACATGGTGATGCCCAAGCAGGATGTATTTCAGTTCTAAAATTTGCACTTGGCTCTTTGGGCAGAGGAGTGGGGGTAAAGATTGTGTGTGTGTGTGCGTGTGAGTGTGTTCCTGCACATCAATGTCAAAGGAGGAAAACAGGACCCCCATAGTAGTGGGGGGGCTCCTAGGGAGTGGCAGCTACACTGGGTGTTCCAGAGCTGCCCTTTCCTCTTGAAGAGGTGCTAACCCCTCCTAACACGGGCCCTATGTGGGAGCAAGCCTTTCCCAGCCCCCACAGGGTGGTGTAAGAGTCCAAGACTAGGCCTGGATTTTCTTGGAAAGAACAAGGACGTAATGAACTGCAGGTAGGGGTGGGGTGAGGGGGCCCACCAACCCATGAACAGTCTGACTGTCCGCACCTCAGGGGTGCTCATCCTCTCCTCCCCCAAGCTCACTGGAGAGTTATGTTCTAGCTCCAGGGTTGGCCGTGATGGATTCAGAGCTAAAGACCCCACCATCCAGACAGACCTACCTTCAAAGTGTGCTACTTGCTACCTGTGTGAACTTGAATGAGTCATTTTCACATTCTGGGGCCCCAATTTTTTCATCTCTAAAGCTGAGTGAAAGACATTCTCTCCACAGAGAAGATGGGAACTAAATTAAGCAAATGCACATGGAGAGTCTCGCAGAGCGCACACAGTAGGTGCTCAACAGAGCTAGGCTTCCTCCTTTCATAGAAACCCCTCATCAATTGGTCTCCCAGTTCCAGGCCTGCCTCCTTTCTTGTAGCTCCCTCTCTCAGCCCACTGACTGCAAGTCCTCTCTTGCTCATATGTGAGTATCTCCATTAGCCCACCTCAGCCCACTCAAAGCTCCTCTCTGCTGGGCAGGGTCCAGTTTGATAGGCAGGTGACCTGAGCCATTGCACAGGGCTTAGTTGCTTAGTTTATGCACCTGGTTTAATGCTTTGCTGTTGAAAATTCTCAATCATCTTTGAACAAGGGTCTGTGTCTTCATTTGCACTAGATCTTCCAAATCATGTAGCTGGCCCTGTGGAGAAGAGCCACGCCCTGCCCAGATGCCTGATACCACTGGTTCCTATTGGCCCTCTATAAACCAGCAGAGCAAGAGAGCCTGTGTGTCCTTACAGTCTGCACCAGGGGCTTTGAAACACATTTCATCTCTGTCTTCCTAATCAAGAACAGAGGCTTTGCCAGGCTGTTAGAGTCTGTAAACAAGTCAAAATAACACCTGGCATTTTGCCAGGGGAATGTTAGAGTTCGTAAACAAGTCTGGATGGTGCCTGGCAAAATGCCAGAGGGAGTGGTTTGAGAAGTAACAAAAGCGAGCCATTAAGTGTGGAGATTCCTGATTGGTTGACTGCTGTATCTAGTTTATGCTAATTAGATAAGCTGTGTGGAATGTATAAATACTGCTCCTGTCCTGCAATAAATGGCTCCCACTCCTGCTGTATCAAGGTACACAAGTTGTTCGTCACCCCCCGGTTATTTTGCTACAGCCAGCCGGGCTGCGGCACCAGGCTGCTTGTCTGAGGCCACACAATTGGCAAGTAGAGCCTGAATCAGTTGCGTCTGATGCCAAAAGAGATGCCTTCTGATCCTCCACCAAAGCAAAGGTCCATCTATGAGCACTTGGGCAGGCAGAGAATTTTCTAGTTTAATAACATAGGCCTTTGTTTGCATATATCATTTAAACACGATCAATTTAATAAATTCCCATGGGGGAAAACCTACCACAGAGTTTCTGAAGAGATTTCTCAGAATAGGTCTCCCGGTCACAGCCCTTGCCAATGTAATTGGTCTGCAGCTCCGCGGTGACCTGGAGGGAGGACACGGCACCGTCGCACGTCTCCAGGTGGATGCTGGGGAACAAGGGCACACTCCCCGAGCCAGGCTGGTACTCGATCCTTTTGGTCCAGTCTGAATAAACAGAAGCAGGATGAAAAGTCAATCAGGTATGGCGAGTCTTGCCGAAACACTTGTTTGGAAGATGCAAATCTGTTCCAATAAATGAATTGTCTCAACCAACATATTAAGGAGCCGTCTGAAGATAATGGGAATTTCACATTTGGTGATGCAACGTCTGCCCCCTGAGAAATATCAGGCGAATATAGAAAATTGCACCCAGCTGAACCCAGTCACAGAGAAATAGAACACACACACACACACACACACACACACACCCCACAAACACGGCCAGCTTCCTACTTCACCATGTGACATGGGAAAAACAGAAGGAGCCATCACACTCAAAAACGTCACCTGGGATGCATCAAAAAGGGAGAAAGAGAAAAACATGACCACCTTTTTACACAGGCACTATGCCAGATATGGCATTGGACCTTGAAGAGATCTGACATTGGTGGTGGGAGGGATGTGGGAAGGGGTGCAGCTGGGGTGTCATTGTGAAGAGGCGGAAGGAGAATCTCAGAAAGAGGCGGGAAGTTTTTTTTTTTTTTTAAGAGAGAGAGAGAGAATTTTTTAATATTTATTTTTAGTTTTCGGTGGACACAACATCTTTATTTTTATGTGGTGCTGAGGATCGAACCCAGTGCCCCGCGCATGCCACGCGAGCGCGCTACCTCATGAGCCACATCCCCAGCCTCAGATGGGAAGTTGTAACCGCAGGTGTGCAAGGGTCCACTCCCAAACCAGCAAACGCCAAGTCTGTTCAAGGTCAAGTGCCATACTCAGGCAGTATTGTATAAAACTGTGCTCACGCTTTCTCTTTGACCCTTTTATATGTGTCACTGGTGACATTTGTGAGTTCTGTGCCTCTCACCCTACTTTCCCCTTACATGGTGATTTTTAAGAATGCCTATGTCTTGTTTCAAAGTGAAAGAGGACATGGTCACTCCAGGATTGTAGGAGATCATGAGGCAGGGGGAAAGGATTCTCTAGCATTCGGGACTGTGACTCGCTGAAGGATGGCCGATGATCTTGTCATCACTTTAAAGTGGAAAAATAATTGGGAGACAATAAAGCATTGGAGAGAGAAAAAAATCACAACCAAAATGGTTCCACACGTGAAAGGAGCAATCAACACAAATAAACAGGAAGCTTGAGCTCACACTGAAAGTGACTGATACATTGTAGCATCCAGTAGAAGTCAGAGCCCATTGGAGGTGATGCTCGCAGACTGATAATATGTGTCTGCTGACAACCTTGAGCATCCCGCATGCTGCAAGGACACTGTCTGAGAGGCTGTGCAACTGTCCTCAGCTACACTTGTGTGAATGAGTGAGAGGAATCATGGAGGAAGGGGTGCTATCCATTTGCAAGTCCCAAATGTTGGTCACATAGAACCTGATTAGATGGTACCCTTTGACTTGGGTAGAAATGAAAATCTACGAAATGTCTTGCTCTCACCCATGAGAAGCCCATGAAGTCCTGTATTTGTGAGATTCTGGGTCCATCTGCAGCCACTAGCATCTGTGTAAGTCCCCAGTGGGATACTGGCCACCATCATGGTGATAAGACTGGGCTGAGGGAAGGGCCACATGGCTTGGTTCATTCAGCAGCTGTGTGTTTGGGATTTCCATGTGCCAGGCTCTGGGGCACCAAGGAAAGGGAGTGAACAGGTCAGGAGCCAGGGGAGGAGCAGGTGGTGAAGAAGCCTGTGCTGTCCCGTCAGAGAGGAGCCATGCTGTGGGACAGGGCAGAGAGGGGCTCCTTTGGATCCAGAGCTCCCAGCTGAGCTGACACCGAAATGCCAAGGATGCCTGTGGCCCAGAGGTCTCAGGAAAGCAGGCTAGAAGCTGAGGCAGCAAGGAAGGTGGCTTGACTCTGTAATGTCACGATGTTCTTGGGCAGGTCACTGGAGGCCTCCAAGTCTCAGAAATGTCCTTGGTAAAATAAGGACCATAGCACTGACCTCTCAGAGTCGTGGTGAGGATAGTGTGTGACAATGTGTATTTGGCACATAGTAGGGCTCTGAGCATAGTAGGGCCCCCAGTAAGGAAGGGGGCAATGCCTCCCTGGGCCACAACCTTACCGTGTTCCACATGACTACAATCTGGGTTTAGCCCTTAGCACCCTTCCGGGTTTCTCAAGCATGCCATGAGCAGTCGGGGGTTCACCCCCAGGGGAGTTATACTGAGAGGATGTATGGGCGAGAGGAACAGAGCGTGAAGGAGGGAGGACACACCTCCTGTGGGCCCGGGAGCCGAGTTCCATCACCCTCCAGAGGAGGAGATCATGGAGTCACTATAGCCCATGCTCCAGAGGCCCCAGGTTCAATCCTAAGGCCGAACCTCTAGAGCAAACAAGGGGCTTCTTATCGGGCCTATGTGAATGTCACGGCATGGTGAGAGGTCCACGCTCGCCAGGCATGTAGTGCCCTGGGATGTGTTAGACTGTCTTCTGCCACTGTGACCTCAATACCCGACAGAAGCGATTGAGAGGAGGAAAAGTTTGTTTTGGCTCATAGCATCAGAGGTTCAGTCCCAGGTCGGGCGACTCCATTGCTCTGGGTCTAAGGGGGGCAGAGCATCATGGCAGAAGGGCGACGTGGAGGGAGGCCATCCCTTTCACGGAGGTCAGGGAGCAGAGAAGCAAGGGGAAGGGGCTGCCGGGAAGATGGCCTCAGGGACCCACTCCTCCAGCTGCACCCCACCTGCCTAAGTGACCACCCTGTCCACTCAAGCTCAGATGGACCGATGAGGTTACAGCTCTTGTAATCCAATCTTTTTACCCCTGAGTTTCCCTGTATTAACGCAGGGACTTTGGGGGGACACCTCATATCTGCATAGCAAAGCTGTCATGCCACAGTGGTGTGGTCACACGGCTGCTGCTTCAAGGACTTCCTGTCTATCTCCTTCCCCCTTGCCACCTCCCTGCAACCTTTATGGACGTCTCCAGTCTAGGTGGATGCCCTCCTGTGTGCCCCACAGCCTCCTCAACACTGGACTGAAGCATTTCATCCCAAGCTTCATGTGGCTCTCAATGCCCACCGTGCCCCGTGGTGCCTGGCATGGAACCTGCCCTCACTGTCTGGTGAGGAGAGTGTGAATGAATCCTATACGACGCCCTGTTGGAATGATACGCTTGTGTGCCACCTCCCTCAGGAACCGTGAACCTTTTAAATCAGGGGTTGTGCGGTTTGGTTGAACCTCCACCTCGACATCAGAGTTCAGGGAAGAGTTGCCAGGTGGATCTGGGGAGCCCTAGACTCCGAACCTTCCTGAGCCACCGTTCTTCTTGGGCTACAAGCAGAATCCAGGGCCTGTTTGCAGCTTCTCTGGAACCACCCACCCTCACAGCACCACAGTACGTGCTTGGTTCTCTCAGTTTTGGCAAGGCAATTAGTTGTTCCCAAACTGCTGAGGGAGGAATCTGAAAGGGAAGCCTGTGCTCCTGCCCTCTCTCCTCTCTCCCAGGTGGGACTCTCCCTTTCTTTAGAGATGTAAATTACAAAGTGGAGAAAGTGGCTTCCTGTCTGAGGGCTTGATGTGAGACACGCCCTTCTCCAGGGTCTCCCACTTCTGCTAGTGTGGACAAGACCTGTCACCGCACCTGCTCTGCTCACAGTCGCCAGAGGCCTCTTCCCTAGAGAGAGACCACTGCGGACGCCTCTTAGGCGGTTGTCACTGCTGAGAAAATCCACCTCAAGTCTCCTTCCCGAGGAGTGGGATGTGTTTCCACCCTTGGGCCACTCCTGCCTGGGAGGAATCAGGTACAGGAGAGCTTAAGGAACATCACAAGGCCAGAGGCTTTGTGGACCTCAGGAGGCATGTTCTAGAAGGTTCTGAGGAGCAGGCAGAATTGCAGCTGTAAAGTAACAGAAATGGACCAGGCTTGGTGAGCACAGCGTCCTGGGGAGGAGAGAGTTCCCGCAAACGCCTTCCACTTTTCCAGAAGGAGCTGGGGTGGGGATTAAGAGAGAAGAGGGTAAGCCACCAAATCCAGCCTTTGCCAATCACCTCCCTCTTCCTCCTGGATTCCTGGAGAGTAGGCCGTGGGCAGTGGCATCTGAACTGCACAATGATGGCAGGGCTGGGGGCTGGTGGGACTTGCCCGAGGCCACTCAGCCTTCTCACAACAGTCCTTCCAGCAGTGTCTGTGTGTGTGGGGGGTTTGTCAGAACTGAGAACAAGTTTTAATTTTTACAGGTTTATTTTTGAATACTCGTTTTATGCTGATTTTTAAAAAAGAGATAATCCTGATGTTGGCAAAGACCCAGGGGGGGCTGCTGGTCTCTGCACGCCTGGCCTTGAGGGCAGTCAGTGGGGGCTGGGGGTTTGCTTCACACTGAGGACTGGAGAGCTTGAAACTTGAATCTCCTCTCTCCTGATGTGATCAGGTGGACTTGGCAAGGCCACTGCCACCTGATAGTCTCATCTGTGGATTTGGGGACATTATTTTTACTCCTGGGCTGGTGGTCTTTTTTTTTTTTGTACCTGGGATTGAACCCAGGGGTGCTTAACCAGAGTCACACCCCCAGCCTTTTTATGTTTTTTTTTTTTTGAGACAGGGTCTTAAGTTGCTTAGGGGCCTCACTAAGTTGCTGAGGCTGGCCTCGAACTTGCAATCCTCCTGCCTCAGCTTCCCGAGCTGCTGGGATTATAGGCGTAGTACCACCAAACCTGGCTGGTGGGAAGTCTTAAAGGAGACAATGTAGACTAAGGGCCCAACCCAGAGACGGGCCCCAGGAAGGACCAACCCACTTCTTGACCTGCCAGGCTTCCCAAACATCTCTGAGCTATATTCTGCTTGGAAAGAAAATCTTTTCAATTTATAAAGGGCCTAGAGACTCGTTTATGAATCGTGGTTCAATTTTTTTCTTAAGTGAACAGAGAGGAAGCAGACGGCCTGCTGTTTTAATAATCAGGCCTAAATTACCCCGTAAGTATTCCTGAAAAAGCTAACACTGGAATGCCATCGGGATTTAAACTCCTTTCGTTGTGGATTAAGGATTTAGA